AATAATTAATATTGCTACACTGAACTGACATTTTGCACAAAGGACAGTAACGCGAAGGCTTAGTTTATCTCTGAAGCGATAACACCTTCCAGACAGGAAAACAGAAACCCAGTGTTATTTCCTTGAAACACATCAAGAAATAATTTGCTGAATTATCTTCTGGTTTATTCAAAAGAAAGAAAAAAAAAACAAAGCATGTCAATTCTAACAAAACACAGAGAAGCGACTCATGAACAGATGTGGCCTTCCACATCAGATCTGGATAAGTGACAACAGGACACCGAAATCAATGCCTTTGATTAACAGCTGCTGATTGGCTAAGTAAATCTTCCTAAAAGGTCATGTCCTATCTGTTTAGACCATTGCCTGCAACAGGCGGTGCAGTCAATAATGGTTACAGCAGCAGCAGACAAGCAAACATTCTATTGTCATTAAAGAGTCAATGCTACATGCAGCCAGAACGCATGGAACAACAATTTAAATACAGAATGGGTAAATTTACATCTTGATTGTTTTTGAATAACGTCAAAATGTTTTGCTCTTTTTTTTTTTTTGCAGTGTTTTTGAATGAATGTGAGTCCAAATCTTTTTTTAATAGTGTTTTTGAATGAATGTGAGTCCAAATAAACCTTTTAGTCATGTACTGTATCTTTCTTACAGGGATCCTACAGCTCCATAAAGCCTTTTTATTATTAAAAATTCTATCATCAATCTAAACATTTCTCATGATACGTACAATGGAACCTCGGTTGTCGGATGCCACCCTTTTCTAACAATTAGGTTCACAAACTAAATATTTAACCAAAAATTGCCCTTGGTTGTCGTACTATAACTCGGTTGCCAATAAGAAACCATACCACGCAAGCAGCAAGTGTGGCATCAGCCTGCGCTCAGGATACACACGCTAAGTACTGCTGTATATTTTTGCCGTTATTTTTTGCATTGCAAAAAAAAGTGAGAACAACGATGGAACTGGAGACAGACAATAAGAAAGCATGAGAATACCGTTCGTGTTTCCAATCTGGCTCTACGGTATGGCTTAGCAAAGTCGTCGATTTGTATAATCATTAAGAACTAGGACGCAATAAAAGAAGATATTCAGCTTCTTACTAGTGATACCAGAATCTTTTATTTGATACGATAGTGATTACTTTTTGGCAATTTATCAATACTGATATCAATATTTTGTGTGATTTTTTTTTTTTTTTACTCAATAAAGCACATGAGAAATTCTGGCCATCTGACCCTTTAATATGGATTTTTCATACCATATTAGTCATAACATATTACATTATTGTACACAATGTAACCTATCCCTTAATATTGAATTTTCATACATTAGTCATAACAGATTACATTATTGTACACAATGTAACCTATATAGTTTGACTGCTAGCATTAAGGGACAAATTTTCTAGTGCACTTGATCACACTGCTCTCTTCTGGTCGGTGCTTACGTAACCGAAAAAGACGGTGTAAGTGGCGCATGCTATTTTTTTCATTTAATAATGAGTACCAATACTTTATGAAAGTAATCACCACTCATATCAATAGAGTACCACAAAATCGGTACTCCCATCACTACACCTCGCATTTGTTTTTACACACAGATTCCAATCTAGTACCTTAGTTAGTCAGGAGAAACAGATCCTTCGTAAACATTAACACTGTGGAAACCAAGTCAGGAGAAACAGATCTTCCGTAAACCTTAACACTAAAACCTTAACGTAAACCAAGGTTTTCTGGCTAAATTTAAAAGTCAGGAGAAACAGATCCTTCGTAAACATTAACACTGTGGAAACCAAGGTTTTCTGGCTAAATTTAAACACAGAGAAAAAGAAAAAGGAATGAAAGAGGTGTGTCTTATTATGTCCTCTTTAACTGTGTTTAGAATATTAAATTAAATGACTTTTTTTTTTACAGCTCAATCAAGCAGAACACCACTTATTGTAGCTCCTGGCTCCTTTTGTCAGTCCTTTAATAACAAGGACTTACATACTTACCTGCAAATCTGCTGCCTACAGAAAAAGACCTGAAACAAAAACATTGCAAGTCTCCTTGAATCGTGGACAACGATGTTTGGATTGACAAATGTTTCTACTATGTGAAGAAAAAATCTGAAGATGGATAATTATTTCCTGGAAACCAATGTCAGTTAAAATGCTATTTCAATGACGAGATGTCAAGATGTCATGTCAAGATGGCGCCGGTGTGTGGCCTGCCATCTGTCACTGACTGTGTTGTGTGTATTTGTGCTGGTATTTTCCTTTTAGTCGCCAAGCACTTCTGGATCTTCGAACTCCCACTGAATATCTGCTAGATTTCATTCATGGTGGACATGGAGTTTTGCCCCCGCACCTTGTGAGCATCCCGACACACCCCTACCGCAGCTGGGTTTCACCAGTTTGGCCTAAGCTTTCTTTTCAATTGATATTTTAGTGTACTGACTTGGTTACTTTAATAAGTGATACAATGTATTTTTGAAAATATTAACCAAATATACACGTTCAAATCAGTTTTTTAAGGTAATTTTTTTATAAATTATTTGTATAATTTACCAGTCTACACCATTTATCTCCATGTAAAAATGTAACATTTTAGTGAAAACACACTGTTCATAAGGTCGTACCATTAAGAAATAATGTAAAACAGCATCACAACGTAACACACGCATCGTGGTTTAGTATTCATTTATGTTGCTGAATTCCAGGCTGTTAAAAATGTACTCTGACAAAATGAAACACATGCAGAGGGAAGGTGCCTTTGTTTGAGTGCTTTGTTTGATGCTGCACCAATTAGGATTAGAACATAAAAACATGATTTGTTTGGTGTGCGCCTCTAGACTGCATGCAAAAAAATGGACAGAGCCACCGAGGTCTCATTTTTTAAGCCTCCAGGTATGCGAGGTAATTAACACCATGTTGTTTGGAGCCACATGTTTCCAAATGTGGCCGCTAACCAGGCTCTAACACGTTTTGTCAAGTTTGTGTCAGTAACCCATGCATTTCTCATTATGACCAAAAATCCTTTAAAATGTGAACATAAATACTGTAAAAAATACCTACTTGTACAAATGCTGGAACTGAAGTAACTGCAGACTAAGCTACCCTTTTCGTAGAAGCCCAAACCCATTTCAAGACGACACATTATAAACAAACATACCACCAGCTGTCTTTACAAGTACTTTACAGCGGTCAGTCACCATCTTCTTCATCCCTCTGCTGCAGCTCCGTGTGGCTTTAGAAAATAAATATTGAATACCTAACTTAAACTTACTATACTTACATTTGTTAATAATTTAATTCTATATTTGAATATTGTGGTGCGCGTAAAAATAGACATCACAGCAGCCGATCATCCATGTGGTAACATAGAATATTTACCAGAGGTGCGGACTCGAGTCCGATCATCCATGTGGTAACATAGGATATTTACCAGAGGTGCGGACTCGAGTCGCATGGCTTGGACCCGAGTCAGACTCGAGTCATCATTTTTTAATGACTTTAGACTCGACTTGACAAAATGTAAAGAGACTTGCAACTCGACTTGGACTTTAACATCAATGACTCGTGACTTCACTTGGACTTGAGCCCTTTGACTCGACAAGACTCGATACTTTCTCCCAAACCCAAAGATTATAAAGTAAGTTATGAAGGAGCGCTCTGTATCTCTCATTGTGTACATGTGTACGTCTGTGTGTGTATGTGCTGTCGGCACAACATCCAATCAAATTAGACCCACGTTGTTTTGACATAATAGCATCGAGCCGATCAAATTGCGAGACAACCAATACGGAAGAGCTGTCAAACAGCGTGCGGGTTAGAGAAAATGATACCAAAGATCGTGTTGTTCGGATTTAAAAACAGTGAGGTGGTCAACAAAAAACGACTTGCAGTGATCTGTGTAAATAGATCATTATTTTGTTTAAAAGGACTCAAAACAGAAATGGCAGGACTTGGGACTTGACTTGACACTTTTCGGTCTTGACTTGGACTCGACTCGGAATTTACCTGTCTTGACTTGAGACTTGACTTGGACTTGAGTGCAAAGACTTGAGACTTACTTGTGACTTGCAAAGCAATGACTTGGTCCCACCTCTGATATTTACACAGAAAGATTTTTTATTTCACTTTTAAATCAATAAATGTTTTTTTTTTTTTTTTCCAAACAGTATTTGTAGCACAGTTGGTTACACGTTAGCTCTTTCCTGCTTCGGCCCCGTCGACCGTAATTGGAATGCAGAAGGGAGACTTAGTGACATTAGCTCTGAGGCTAACTTCCTTCACTTTGTGCTTGTCCACAGCAGATATAGCTTTATAAAAATAGCGACTTGTAGTCCGACAATTATGGTAGATGGTTTGAGATGAAGTTCAGGAGCAAAATAAAAGCAAGTAAAAGTAAAAAAAAAAAGAAATTTAGTGAGACTAGCATCCTCCACAAAACTCCTTAAACAATAAATAAAATACAAATGGTTCAAATGGAATATGGCACACATATGGACATAATGCTGTAATGCATGAATGATAACAAGCCTCCAGTCACTAGGTGGCAGCAACTCAGTGCATACAGTGGTTTGTACAGATAAAAATTATACATGTTAATAGGTTCTCAATAGTATTTCAATTCACGGGTGTGGGTTGGAGGGGGACGGGGGTGTGTGAAAACAAGTACCATAATGTGACGGTAAGGAAAGTGAACTACATGTCATTGTGACACAGACCACCACTGCACCACTGCACGCAACCAAATGTGACCTCTTTTTTTAACCCATCACCAAAGTGAACAGTGGGCAGCTTTAAGCACCCGGGGAGCAGTGTGTGGGGATGGTGCCATGCCCAGAGCACCTCAGTGGTAACTTGGCAGCTGGTGGACTCGAACCTTAACCACTAAGCCACCGCTCGTTGGAATTTGTTGGAGAAGTACTGTTTAGAACCATGACTTTCATCCTTTGAAATAAACAGATAAAATAAGCTTTGATCTTTTGTAAATATTTGGTTAGAGGGGGAACAATCCAGATAACTAGTTATAGTGCCTACATGATCATTTTCTTCTAGTAAAACAAAATAACATTGCTTGGTGTTTATAACACATACACACCATTTGTCAAAAAAAACCCAAACAAAACAAACAATATATTGCATTGCTGGCTCAATTAAAAGTCACATCAGATCAAATAAAACATTAAAACCACCTCCACCTGACATGGCTGACCAATTAACAGAAGAGCAGATCGCTGAGTTTAAAGAGGCATTCTCTCTGTTTGATAAGGATGGAGATGGAACCATCACCACAAAGGAACTAGGAACAGTGATGAGATCATTAGGTCAAAACCCAACTGAAGCTGAACTCCACGAAATGATCAACGAAGTGGATGCAGATGGGAACGGTACCATCGATTTCCCAGAGTTCCTGTCCCTCATGGCGAGGAAAATGAAAAACGTTGACATCGAGGAGGAGATCAGGGAGGCGTTTAAAGTCTTCGATAAAGATGGCAACGGTTTCATTAGCGCAGCGGAGCTGCGACATGTGATGACCAACCTGGGAGAGAAGTTGACAGACGAGGAAGTGGATGAGATGATCAGAGAAGCTGACATTGATGGCGACGGACTGGTCAATTATGAAGAATTTGTTCAGATGATGACCACTAAATAAAGTGGACCATCGCTTCAAGCAGTTAAATGTTTCAACTACCTAATATTGTACAAATGTAGGGTGTAACCATATTACAACAAAATGATTTTGTTGTGATAATTAATCTCAGCAAATAAATGTTATTATTATTATTGTATAGTGCTGTTATTAATTGCAAACCCAAGACCTGTACATAATCCCACATTAGCTCAGCTAGTTTCAAGTTTTTAAACCCAGGTCTGTAGGTTAGTGACATGTAGAGTGAATTCTATTAGTACCAGGCTACTATTAATGCTAGGCTAAAACAAGAAGCCGAAAAAGAAGACGGCTGAAAATATATTATACTTTTTTGATCAATTTTTTTTTTCTTAACCCTTGTGCGGTCCTTTTTTGGTCTAGGTGACCACTGTGTCGCCAAATAGCCTGATTAGAGTCTAGCTAGTCAATGTTTTTTTTTTTTTTTTTTTTGTTTCCATGCTGTTAAATACATGTATATTAACAACTACTCATAATAAATATAAATATCATTATACAAAACATCATAAACATGGAGTGTTTGTACTTTTAACTTTAAAAATTCACAAGCGGGCCAGATTGAACTCCCTATTGGGCCAGTTTTGGGCCACGGGCCTAATGTTTGACACCCCTGCCATAGCTTATCAGTTGTGTGTGACCAAAAAAGGTTTCTCTCTAGCAACAAGCAAGCTTGTTAGGAGGAAGGTGAGTAAGTCGGTACAAAAAAAAATCTTCCAAAAGCATGCTAGTCATTTGTAATCGTTCCTCCTTAAACTTAAATTCACGAAGATCCAGTTGCATCCTTACAACCATATAAACAGCTCATGTCGAACATGTGGTCTTCAAAGCCAGTGAACGCATAGTGTTCTCTCCTGCAGCCACGACAACAGTGGAAGCATCTCCCACTTATTACCATGACAACAAGACAGCCAGAGCATGCAACATGATCCACCAGATCCAATTAGGAGTATGGGATTAAATTTGAATAAATATGATTGCATTAAGGATAGATTAGGTTTATTGCATAATTAGTTTTAGAAGGGCAGGAAAACTGAGCTCTACACAGGGTGGGGGGAGAACCAAATCATCTCATCTTTTAGAAACAGAGAGAAATAATAAAGCATATACAAATACATAACAAGTGTTGACTCTTTAAATACATGGAACATTTCAGTTGAAGAGCTATATGCATGTAATATAATATTTGTACTTGACTTTCATTTTCTTTGAAATATAAGCCTTGCATTATTGCTTATACTATGAGTCAATGATGATGACCATATATTGTAACGTAAATGTAGCAGTCTACCATTGCAGTAATGCTTGAATGCTAACAAGCCTCCAGTCACTGGGTGGCAGCAACTCATATAGTGGTAGTATTTCAAATCGTGGGGTGTGGCCCGGGTGGCGTGAAAACATTTCTGTCCCCAAGAGGGGCATGACAGAAAATTAAGAACCACTTGTATAAATGAAGAATACATATATTAACATGTACGTTAATTCACAATTGGTTAAAAGGTTGTACATTTATTCACATAAAAACCAAGGATTTCTGAAAAAACATTTAACGGCTTTAATTGAGTTTTTTAATACATTTAAGATTAATATGATTTCTCCTAATACCATATTTTCCGGACCATAATTCGCACTTTTTTCATCCTTTGGCTGGGTTTGTGACTTATACTCAGGTGCGACTTATATATTAAATTATATAATTTCACATTTGCACTGGAAATTTACGTGTTTGTTAGAGGGCACTCTAGCTGGCTGGTGCGACTTATACCCCAGAGTAGTGTTTCTCAGCCACGGCACACCCCAAACAAAAATCTTACAAAAAGTATTTGTAATTAAACATAATAATATTCCAGTTTAAATTTACTAAAAATGTACTTCCTGTTTAGTTGAAGATAATGCTGATGTACTGGCAGGGATTGAAGAAAGACATTCACAAAGATCTTTAACAGCTCTGATTATCTTTTTTTAGTTTCAACAACCATCTGCTGCCAGCTAGCGGAAGAGGATTTAATTGCTCTGCCTATCACACAATGACGAAAAATTATTTGCAATAAATTAATGATAGTTTTGGGACCAATTAAGTGACATTGGATAATTTTTCGCGGCACACCTAATGATCTCTCACGGCACACTGGTTGGGAATCACTGCCCCACAGCGACTTATACTGCATATGTTTTTGTCATCTTCATTATGCATTTTTTAGCTGGTGCGACTTATACTCCGGAGCAACATATAGTCTAGAAAATATGGTACCTAATAGTGATTTGGAGGAACTGTTTTGTTTTTTTTTTACTTTTATTTTCTGCTTCTTTGTTACCTGTTTGCCTCAACATTGGTGGTAGGGTATCATAACTCTTGGATATTGGATGTGTTCCAGCTCAACTCATGAGACCAGGTTTTTCCCAGATCATCAATTATTTCTGAAAGTAAATTGACCATTGGTGTGGTCCATTCACCTGTGAACCGTCCAGGGTGTATCACACCATTGATCGATGACTTTGACGTTTTTTGGTTGCCCTACTGTGTAGCTACCTCCTCTGTCTTCAGCAACCATGTCCATGTGGGCCTCCCCCTCAGGTATCACGTGCCTACCTACAAATATGGTTTTGGATCGGGCTGGCAAAATTGTATTGCGCGCCTAACCTCCTTCGACTGTTTTATATACAGCTTATGTTGAAAATGTGTGTGAACTTAACAAGCGAGCATAAACAACGTCCAGCGGAACTATTAAGAATATGGTTGAATAGAATGTGTTTACTACCCACTTCACCTGTATACCAAACAGCATCCTTTTACCGCCGAACCTCTTATTCCCCATGATGAAACTCCCTGACATCCGTTTAGACAGTTGAGTAATAATGGTCTTATAGTGTACACGAATGCATGCACACACACCTACCAACACACACGTACGTATGTCCACTACTACACACACACACACACACAATCATTTACAGGCTCCAACGAGCCACTAAATAACTGTGATAGATAGGTGTGGGAGAGTAGGCTCATTTTCTCTTCTGGACCATAAAGGGCTGCTTGGCCATTTTCAGCAACTCGCTGGTCAAACAGCCATCTATCTCACCTCCACACTGCCATAAATCTTACCCCTCCTTTAGCCAACCTTTTGGTGCCTGTCTGTTTCTCTTTTTCTGTTTTACTCTACCATCTATAATGGACTGGAAACGCATGGTCTGCCGACATAGAGTTACGTTACATTTTTGAATATATCTTTAATGGGTAAAAAGAAAAGCTCTGAAGAACACTTAAAAAAATATCATAAATGAAGCCAAGTTTGGTTAGATCAGGGGTGGCAAACTCATTTTCACCATTGGGCCACATCAGCAATACAGTTTCCGCTTGAAGGGCCAGTTGTAAATGTAAGAGTGTATAGCTGTAACTACTCCATAACGTATTAAAACGTGTTTCGGCAATAGATTTTTATTAAATATTGTACATTATTCTGTGTGATAAAAAATTGAATTTATCAAGAAACTGAGCGTCACAGACTTTATTGTAAGGCAAATAAATGTTTTTTAAGCTCCCGCCGGCCACAGACTGACTTGGCAGACCGCATTTGGCTTGTGTGCCTTGAGTTTGACACATGGGTTAGATCAGTGTTCCCCATCCCCCGGGTCGCAGACCGGCATCAGTCTGTGGGTCAATTTGTACAGCGCCACACAGAACGAATGCATAACTTAGATTATTTGTGATTTATTTACTATCTGATTCTGAACAAGGTTTTATTTTGAAAAAAATGACCAGATTCTGTCCACCGCCTCTGTCTATGACTCATACATGTTAGTGCTGTCAGTCAGTCAAGTGCTGCTGATGATTCACGGAACAATATTTCACGTACAGCAGTGACGTCTAAATGCATCTGCGACGGCCCTAGTCTTCCTCCCTACAAGGATCACGACGTACCGTATGTGCTGAGATGTTTGCTGACACTGGTGGATTGTTTCATTCAAAGTTTGAAGATTGTGTCATAGAGTTTTATTTAAATCATCAACTACTCATCATTCAAAACACATAAAAATCACAAAAAAAACCCACAGAAGACCTGGGTGCTAAACACGCAGCACGTCACCATACATTTATCAAGAGAAAAAAGCGACAGGATTTATCATAAGTTGTGGGAGAGACATTAGTCAGTGTAGGGGAGTGTGGAATGACAAACAACATATATAGCACCAAACAACACCCTGGGGCTGTTTTAAAAAAAGTACTGGACGTACATTGTGATTTTGCCTCTTTCACAGTTCTCTGATTAGTGTTAAGACAGTCCCTTGAAATTCCAAGAGACACATGTCTCCTTTTTTCCCCATTTATTCTCCTGTGAGTATCTGTGGTGTTATTGAGCCACGGGTCAACTTTTGTGGTTTGGAGACTGAAGACTGGAGCTGGAACCTTAGGGTCCGTCGCCTTAGAGGAAGCTATGTGGAAAGAGAATAAAATGTCATAAAGACATGATGGAGAAACCCATTCGCTCAGAGCAAAGGAAGCGGGAGACGCTTAAAGCAGCAGACAAATCACCATTTGTAGAACCAGTGAGCATGAAGTGCCAGCAGGATGGTGCAATGAGTTTTTTGATTGCTGACAGGCCAGTAAATTAAGAAAATGATGGGGAAATGATCTGAGATGGCACTCATGGATACTTCTTTAAGGAGATTAAGAGCCCATGGGAGATCCAAGGTCCAAGATGTGTTGGTTAGTGCACTGACCGAATTAAATCAAAATAGGCCAAAAGAAACTGACGGTAAGGTTGATCAGAGGGACAGCAGACATGAAATCTGCACAGTTTAACAGCTGGGGAGAAACTTGCAGTGGTGACATCTGCTTAAATATCTGAAAACGTGAAAATAAAATTCTAATTGTGCTTTTGTGTGTGGTTGACAGCTGTATATAACACATAAAAAGGTTCCGCTTGGGTCCTAAACCCTTCATCCATGGGTCATTCGGAACTGGGCAGCAACGGACCGCAGTGAAATAATTAAAAGGGGTCCTCAACTTATGCCGTAGATCTGTTCCTACAGTGCGACATAACTCGATTTTCGCCATAAATCGAACTAGCATACTGTACACTCACCTATGCTAACACTATGGTAAGCATAGGTGGACATAAAAACGTCATAAGGGTGAATCAATCCGTCTATTGTCATCCGCTTATCCGGAGCCAGGTCACGGGGGTAACAGTCGGTGCAAGGACACCTAGACTTCCCTCTTCCCAGACACTTCCTCCAGCTCTTCTGGAAGGATCCCAAGGCTACCCGAGATACATAGTCACTCCAGCATGTCCTGGGTCTTCCACTGGGTCTCCTCCCAGTAGGATATGT